TTTATAGTGAAAGCAGCTGCCATTTTAGCATTTTTCTCATTATGCCTCACTATTATTGAGCTTCTTAATTGAAATAAAGCTACTCGGGTCTAGTCATTCCATTTAAGGAATAAAAATCAGTAAATGCTTTGAAATACCTTTTTTGTGTGTTACAAAACATACTCCAAATACCTTTTTGTAAATAATTAACTGAATTTTCAAAAGAAATACTGAGTTAGCCACTAGTGTTCACAGAATGGTGAAAACTTGTTAGAGACAATGAATATGGCATTTAAAAGCTGGATTTTTCTCATAATTTTGGTTGATTCAGGAGAAACCTCAGCAGAAGGTAAAAGTACTGAGGCATTCATTTATTTATAAAAGAATATGATAATCTAGAATATAGTTTACATATTACTTTTAGGAAAGTGCTTTATGCAGTTGCTTTAATTTGATAAATGGTTTTATTCTTAATGGGAATATATTTTTGCTAGTGGGGTTTATATTTCTAATATTTTTGATTGAACACTTGCTATGTTGAACCTTGAAATTTTGACACAGATATAGCACCTATGGGAAAAGCTTCAGACACTAACATATGAACATCCCATTTTATTATTTCTGGAACCACTTCCTTTGAGCTCATTCTGCAGCAGTTACAGAAACAGACTTTAGTCCTATTTTATTTGTAGACAAATCATATAAATTGCAATGGTTGAAGGTACGCAGACTTATAAAAGTAAAAGAACTAGGGAATCAAATGCTAGCCTATAGCTAATAACCTAAGATGATGCTCTGCACCTCATGTTCCTGGTTCCTCCAGTATGGGATACTGCTCCCTTCACCCCTATTTTCTAGAAGCCAAGATTTTTAACTATTCCCATCACTAGCTAATATGACAAGTCATTGTATCCATCTCCCTTATCTTTTTTTTTTTTCCTGCAGGCTGGGTCACTTCTAACTGGACCAATCTACTCTTGTCTATATTTTTAGTTTTTCCACTGTAAGAAAATTACATCCTGTCAGTCTATAAATTCCTGCCATGTAGCTTCCAGAGTGCAGACCAATTTACAGACTGCTCTCCGCTCTCTAGGTAGGACCTCCTTGAATTAAGGTGCCCCCTCTTACCTTCTCTTGCTAGGCCTGTCTAAAGGAATTAGGAATGCAGGAATTTCAAGTTTGTTTAGTACAGCAATATGTTAATTCAATAAGTCATTAATCAAGCCTGATGATGTCAATAATAGTTTACTAGTAAGTAGTAGTTACTTTCCTTTGTTCTAACAAAACTCGCTTCGGGCAGAAGGCCATATTCCATGTTAAGTGATAGCCCATGGGCTGGAATATAATTTAATTTAGAATTCAGTTCTCCAGTCCCCAGCAATTTCCCACTGATGTCACAGTTAGGGCTTATTTACACTTACAAGTTTTGTTGCCAAAAACTAGCTTTTGGCAACAAAACAGTGATAGCATACACACTGCAAGGTCACATTTTTCGGGAAAAAAACCCTAGTTTTGGCGACATAAAACCCCTGCGAGAGACTTTTGTCTTTTCCCCTCCCTTTGGCCCACCGCTGAGTTGTTGGATCTGATCAATATATGGGGAGAGGAGTCTGTTCAGTCGCAGCTGCGAGTGACCTGTAGGAATTGGGATACATACGGGCAAATTTCTCGAGGCTTGTGCGATAAGGGCTATGATCAGGACACAGCAGTGCAGAGCGAAGATAAAGGAGCTGAGGCAGGCATACCATTGCTCCGGTGGTGCACGTAAGACCTGCTGCATCTATTAGAGCTGAATGCTATCCTCGGTGGTGACTCCACCTCCATCGCCGATTGCCCTGTGGATACTTCACATGCTGCTGAAAGAGGGGGTAACCCTGAGGCTGAAATTGTGGATGAAGTCGAGCTAGAAGAGGCTGTGGTGCTCCCAGCGGGTGGGGCACGCAGCCGGGAACTTTTCTCCACTCCAGAAGTGCTCAACGGGGAGCAGGAAGCAGATGAGACTCCGGGTAAGTTGCTGTGGCTTGTGTAGGGAATCGAAAAGTGGGAGGCAGGTAGTGTGTAGCTAATCTGCATGGCCAAGCAGGGTGTCAGTGGACATTGAGACCTTCAGGGAATCCTCCAGAGAGAGGCTCTGATAAGTTTCCTAGCGGTACTTGTTAATCCTCTGCTGCAGATTCCAAGGGATTGCAGCCTTGTTAGGTCCCCCATTGTAGGAAACGGTACCATGCCATTTAGCAATCACTGGAGCTGGGACCAAAGCGGCACATAGCTAAGCTGCATATAGACTGTGGTGAAAGCCGCAAGCATTCAGAAGCTGAGCCCTGGTTTCCCTAGTCACCCTCATCAGCGAGTTGTCAGCCAGCAAGTTGGCCGCCTGTGAAAAATTGTGGTATAATTTTAGAATGAGTTCCCTGTAAAGCTGCCCTGCAAGCAGAGACCTTTTTGTCCATACACACAGCTACCTTCCCCCCCCCCTCCTGAAACTCACCAGGATTGGGGTGCTCGCAGAGCTATGTGCCTGCCTAGAGTCGCAGAGAGAGAGAGTTTACTAAAATGTCCCTTTTTACTAAAATGTTTCAATCATTTGCTGGAATGTAACAATCCCTCTTCTGTTCAGCACAGACCTTTAAGAACACATCATGCACCCCCGTGGACTGGCTGCGACAGATAAGAAAAAGTCCTAGGCGCAGCAAAGAAGAGATGTTCCGTGTGGTGCTGCAGTGTGATGAGAGAGAGACCAGGGCACGGAAAGAGTCTGAAAGGCAGGACAGAAAAGAGAGTGCTGCTTTTGCTAGGCAAGCGACAGAACCGATGATAAAAGTTATGGAGGATCAGACTGAGATGCTCAAGTCCTTGATACAGCTGCAGACTGAGCAGATGAGAGTTCGAGTGCCTCTGCAGCAGATGCACAATTCTTTGCCAACCCCACTCCCTCTATGCCGACACATTCCTTTTCACTTCACAGCACTCCTGAGTTTCCCCATCACTCCACCCCCTCTCACAGCTTGCACAATGATAGCTGGAGCTACATGCGGTTGTGAGGTTTTACCCTTATAACAGTAAATAAAGGCTAAGGTATTTAATGGTACAGTGTTTTTATTCTGTGTTCTACAAAAGCATATAGCAATCAATTCACTCTTTGGTACAGGCTTCTAAAGCATTGTGTTGAATGGATCTTGGGCCCCAAAATTGTACATGGATGCAACAGGGAAGCAACTCCAAAGCAGACCTGCATTACTGACCCTCATTGTCAAAGTGGTTCCTCAAAGCCTCTCTGATGTTAATAGCAGGCCTCTGGGCTCCTCTGACAGCCCTAGCATCTGGCTGTTCAACCTGTGCAGCCAAGCGCTCTGCCTCAGTGCTCCACACCTGAGCAAACATTTCACGCTTAAATTCACACAGATTATGCAAAGTGCAGCATGTGGCTATGACCACAGGAATATTGTCCTCGGTAAGGTCTAGCCTGCCATTTAAACTCCTCCAGCAAGCTTTCAAACGGTCAAAGGCACATTTGACTACCATGCAGCACCTGCTCAGCCTGTTGTTAAAACGCTCCTTGCTGCTGTCCAGGTGCCCTGTGTAAGGTTTCATGAGCCAGGGCTGTAAGGAGTAAGTTGGATCTCCCAGGATTACTATAGGCATTTCCACACACCCCACTGTGAACTTGTGGTCTGGAAAGAAAGTCCCCCACCTGCAGCTTTCTGTACAGGCCACTGTTCCTGAAGATGCGTGCCTCATGTACCTTTCCAGACCAGCCTGCATTGATGTGCATGAAATGCCCCTGGTGATCCACAAGCGCCTGCAACACCATGGAGAAGTATCCCTTCCTATTGATGTATTCAGAGGCAAGGTAGTCTGGCACTAAAATTAGAATGTGTTGCCATCAATCGCCCTGCAACAGTTAGTGGATGGCTTTGCAGAGATGGATTTCCCTATGTCATACACATTTCCCAGAGTCACGGTCCTATGCAGCAGGATGCGATTTATTGCCCTGAACACTTGGAGTAATACAGCCCCAACAGTGGACTTTCCTACTCAAAATTGATTTGCGACTGACCGGTAGCAGTCTGGATTCGCCAGCTTCCACACAGCTATTGCAACACGCTCCTCTACCGGAAGGGCAGCTCTCAATCTGGTGTCCTTGCGCCGCAGGTCAGGGGCCAGCTCAGCACACAGCTCCATGAAGGTTGCTTTACGCATCCTAAAGTTCTTCTTTGAGTGATTGCTCATGTGTATTTCACAATAGGCGCGTGCTCGCCACGTGCACCGTTGGAAGTTTTTCCCCTAGGATTACCCGTAAGGGAGCACCCCAAGCGACCCCTGGAGTGGCGCCTCCATGGTATAAGGGGCGCTGTGCGCTCCCCCCACCCTCAGTTCCTTCTTGCCGCTAGTTCCTTCTTGCCCCACCCTCAGTTCCTTCAGAACTGCTCTGCTCAAGCTTTGCTGCAGCTTGTCCCCAGCCTCTTGTTTGTTCAGTGTACGTGACCTGTAGTTAGCACTCGATTAGTTTTAGTTTAGTTTAGCTAGTGCGCCCGGGCCGGGGCATGTCCCGTGTGCCCGGGTTTTAAGTTGTGCGACACTTGTAGGCGCCCGATGGCAGTGAGTGATCCGCACGTGGAACTGTCTACACTGTTTGGGTGAAACTCATCTCAGTGATCGCTGTAAGATTTGCAGCCTCAGACCAAGTGAGAGAGAGACATTAGGCTCTGGGCTATCCTCATGGAGTCGGCGTTGACCCCGACTCTGGCGTGCCGCTCCAAGTCAGCACCGGGCACCGTGATGTTGGTGCGTGGTGACCCCCCGGCACCATCTACTAGTCGGCACTGCTCCATGTCCACGGGGCACGCCAAGAGGGCTAAGAAGAGACCTTTTCTGCTGTGGCACCAGAGTAAATCTGGGGCAGAGACTAGACCCGTGTTGGGCAGTCCTTGATCCCCATTGGGCTCTAGGCCTTCAACTTAAGTCGAGCGGAGTAGCCGGCCCAGTCTTAGCAGGCTTCCCCGGATGTCCGGATGCCCTCAATGCCGGAGACCCTGCAGGTGGCCGGGGACATCATGTCCATGCCGGTACCAGGAGTACCACCAATGTTGGCCCCATGCTCCAGAGGCAAGCCGCCACTGGGATCTCCGCAGTCACCCCCGACTCGCTACCGGTCTCAGTCGAGACACCGTTCCCGACGACGTTCGCCGCTCAGCGACCGTTCCGTATGTAGTCCATGTGGGTCGCTGTCGACTCCCACCAGGTTCTCTGGCTGGGTTCCATCTGACCAAGACTCCAGGCACCGCTCCGCCTCGAGGAGTGAACACTGACAGGACAGAAGTACACAACACCGAAGGTCCTCGTCTTGGAGGGGCTATCGTAGCCAGTTGCGACACGAACATCGACGCTGTTCCCGTTCGTCATCCCGCTCCAGGACCCCGCCTCTGCACCGCTCCTGCAGCCTCGGGCATTGATCGCCGGCCAGTCGCCGTCGCGTATCCACCCGTTGGAGCCGATTGTCAAGCAGCTGTTACCAACGGTACCAGTCCTCCACGTCGAGGTCGCGGTCTCTGGGTTGGCATCGCTCTCGGCACCACCGCTCCTCCCGGTCCAGGGACAGTGGCAGGTCGTACATCAGCCCGGCCTCCCTTCGTAGCCGTCCATCGATGGGTCAGGCGAGCCAGGCTGAACAGCCCGCTTCCCCGGTGCCACAGCAGATGCAGTGGCACCGGGCCCCGTGGCTGGCGAAATGGTACCAGTGGGCCCCGACACAGCCCCCAGTGGGGGTTCTCTCGGTGGCCGGAGCCTCAGAAGGGTCGTCGGCCTCCCTTTCCCAACCTCTGAGGAAGGAATCAGTGGGACATACATCCTCAGCACTGTGCCCGGAGGCCGACCAAGCAGGGCTGCCCGGGGCGGGGCAATTTGTATTCTATGGTATTGCAACTTTTTTTAATGGAAGGGGCCCCCAAAATTGCTTTGCCCCAGGCCCCCGAATCCTCTGGGCGGCCCAGCGACGAAGTGGTAGATTCTCCAGTGCCAGTGGACACGCAAAGTATGGCACCGGCCTCCTCGCCCTCCCCTCCTCCCTCCGTCATGCAGGAGGACTCGAAGGCCCAAGAACTATTAAAAAGGGTGGCATCAAGCCTCAATCTCCAGATGGAGGAGGTGGAGGAGCCCTTTGACTCCCTGTTTAACATACTGTCCACCTCAGTACCGGGCAGGGTGCCCTTGCCTCTTCACGAAGGGGTGGCGAAAATTTCAAATGCCCTGTGGCAAACCCCGGCCTCATTGGCCCCATCTCTAAGAGAGTGGAACGCAAGTATTTTGTGCCTGCCAAGGGACATGAATACCTATACACCCACCCTGTCCCTAACTCCCTGGTAGTCGAGTCGGTCAACCACAGGGAGCAGCAAGGCCAACCAGCCCCTACTCCGAAAAATAAAGATTCAAGGAGGCTGGATTCATTTGGAAGAAAAATTTATTTGTCCTTGAGCTTCCAGTTACAGGTGGCGAACTATCAAGCTCTCCTGGGCCGGTATGAGTTCAACCTGTGGGGCTCTTTGCCCAAGTCAAGGACTCCCTCTAGGAGCGTGACAGGAAGGAGTTCAAAGCACTGGTGGAGGAGGGTATAGCGGCTGCCAGGGCAACACTGCAGGCAGCGTCGGATGCGGCAGACATGGCCACACGGTCTATGGTCTCTGCAGTGTCCATGAGAAGGGCGTCATGGCTCCTGCTCTCTGGGCTGTCCAGTGAGGCACAGACCTCCTTGCACGACCTTCCATTTGATGGCAAAGCTCTGTTTGTGGAACAAACGGATATAAAACTGTATGGCCTGAAATGCTCCCGCATGACGCTTCAGACTCTGGGCATCTATGTTCCGGCTCCAGCTAAACCTAAGTTTAAGCCGTAGCAGGCCGCCCACTCTAAACATGATCTCGCTTATAAAAAGTTGTGGGACTATAAGAAATGCCCGCAGAGGCAGTCTCGGCCTGTCCCCCAGCCTGGGTCCTTCAAGGGCAAGCAGGCGGGGAAAAGGCGGTTTTGACAGGAGACCCGGGGTCGCCTTGCCAGTTCTCATCAGGGTTCCACCCCCAATAAAGTTTCTCTTCTCCAATCGGTTGTGTGCTTTCCTCCCGGAGGGGTCACGGCTGACCTCGGACCGATGGGTCCTCAACACCATCTTCTGGGGCTACACCCTCCAGATTACTTCCACCCTGCCCAACCACCCTTCACCCCATCCCTCCTGGGGGACCCCTCTCATGAGGCTCTACTTGAGCAGGAGGTTGGGCTGCTCCTGATCTGCAGGACGCGTACTTCCACATTCATATATTTAAGGGGCACAGACACTTCCTCCATTTCATGGTGGGGCAGGAACACTACCAATTTACGGTCCTCCCATTTGGCCTGTCCACTACCCCCAGCGTATTCACGAAATGTATGTCGATGGTAGCGGCCTACCTCAGGCGCCGCGGGGTCCAGATCTTCCCCTACTTGGATGACTGGTTGGTCAAGGGCAGCTCCCGGTCGCAGGTGCGGGATCACGTGGCGCTCCTTCTGTCCACATGCACCACTTTTGGCCTGTTGGTAAACAACACCAAGTCCACATTAGTCCCGGTACAATGCATAGAGTTTATCGGGGCAGTCCTGGATGCCTCCTCGGCCATAGCCTCCCTCACACCGGACAGGTTCAAGATCCTGAAGGGGCTAATCGACATGGTCACAAGGTTTCCGGTGATAACAGCCAGAGCGTGCCTCCAGCTCTTGGACCACATACGTGCATGCCAACATGTGACCCGTCACGCTAGACTCAGGATGAGACCCCTCCAGCTCTGGTTGGCTTCAGAGTTCTCCCAGGCTAGGGACAGGATGGACAAAGTCCTCACGGTGCCTGAGCCAGTGCTTACCTCCCTAGAGTGGTGGTCCTCCCTGAGAAACATGCTCCAAGGAGTCCCGTTCAGGGGCAGGGCCCCGTCGCTGGAACTGGTGTCTGACGTGTCGGACCTGGGATGGGGGGCCCACATGGGGAACATCCAAACCCAGGATCTGCTCAGGACCTGAGCCTCCACATAAATGTCAAGAAGCTCAGGCTGGTACGGCTGGCGTGCATGGCCTTCCGCTCGCACCTGGAGGGCTGGGTGGTCAGGGTTCTCACGGACAACACAGCCTCGATGTTTTACATCAACAGGCAAGGCGGGGCCCGATCATCTGCCATGAAGGCCTCATGCTGTGGGACTTTTGTATAGCCCACAACATCTGCCTACATACCTACCAGGCGCCCGGAACTCGCGGGCAGATCACTTGAGCAGGGAATTCTCTCAGCATGAGTCGTCTCCCCACCGAGAGGTGGTGCACAGACTTTTCCAAGTGTGGGGAACTCCCCAGGTGGACCTGTTCGTGACTCGGCAGAACTGTCCCTGTCCCCGATTCTGCTCCGGAGGGGTGGGGGGAGTTGGGAGAGGGTGCTATTACTGATGCCTTCCTCCTGTTATGGTCAGGCCAGATTCTCTATGCCTTTTCCCCCATTCCTGCTGATCGGCAAGGTCCTGGAAAAGATAAAGATGGACAAGGCCCGGGTCCTTCTGATTGCCCCAGCATAGCCCAGGCAGCATTGGTATGGGACCCTCATGGGCCTGGAGGTCGCCCCGCCGTGGGCGTTGCCATCCCGCCC